GGGGGGGGGGGGGGGGCGCGACCACGCTCACAGTGATTTAATTCAGTTAGGTGAGTGACTTAATCGTTCTGGTGTTCAGTCATGGTGTTCACGAATCCGTTCGGTTTATATGTTGTTCCATAGGAGCAAGTTAATGAGACCGCAGAGTCGAGAACTTTGTCCTCCGACCGCGGTCATTTGAGGCAAATGAAAAGATGGTGATGAATAGGAGTAAACGCGAGACAGACAATACAACATAAGTACATGAACCTCAGTCAAAAACAAGCATGACAAGTATGACAGAACCATCACATCACGAATTACGAATGCTAGTGCAAGTTTGAAGTGTTGCTTGTATCTGACAGAAAAATCGAGTGGAAAATGTCGAGATTCGTAGTCTTGAGTTGGGCGTAATTAATTGCCTTCTGAAATAGAAGTTCGCTATACAGACAGGATGGAAGAAGTTATGCTCAAGTTAGACGATGACGTGTCGTAACTGAAAAAGTCAACTTCAGAACTGGCTCCGCTTGGTGCTGCCAGCGCAATAGATTGGAGCCCAAGGGATGAAGATTGTCGTTGGTTAGAGACGCTGATAGATAGGTCTAAAAACGCATACGAATAGCGCAACTGTTCGTGTCTTTTGAAATATCGTGCCCCAAATAAGACATCAAACATCAAAATGCGTACGGTGAAACACACCATAAAACATTGTTCTTCTCTCGTTTGGTTACCCGTTTCTCTTCATTCTTCCTATCATTAAGTCAAACTCTCCATTCCCATTGTTGACGTGCTGGCACCAACTATAACCCGATTCAAAACGACTTCTGACATTTATTACTTCGAAACCTGTCTATCCAACTACCGACTCAGAGGAAATATGCAAAAGACCATAATCGGAAGGATTAATTCGAGAATGAAACAACTAAATAGGTATCAACAGATCACCATTGGCCTTGTAAACAGAATCCAGTACAGAATTTGAGGCTCACGGTAAAAAAATTCAGTATCGACTTTCTTTTTCTGTTCGATGCAAATGTTGTTATTTCTTCTATGGAGTCAACCACTGAAACCTGATGATATTGTTGGGTTTCAAGTTCATACGAAGAAACCCCTGCTTCAAATGATGGAGACTATAACAACTCTGTGGGATTCGGATGGCACAACTCAGCAGATGAATTTGACTTGACGAACAAGCACTTACTTGCCAGCGACATTGTTGCTGATCCAAATCCGCTAACTCCCGATGATTACGACTTGGTGGATGTGCGACGGATCGACCGTGTGATCTGGCGCTTCCTAGACGAATGGTCCGATGAGGTGATTGGGTGCGGAATTGGCACTGAGATTGCAGAACAGGAGAATCACTACTAGACGAATCGTCTAGTCCAGAGAGTAATCTAGCCGGATCGTACAGTTCAGCTTCTGCGGGGACACTGGTTGCTCGGGCGGTCTCTTCCTCCATGACTGCATCCTCTATTTCTGCAAGCATTTGGCTGGTCGCCTAGGTTGCATGTAGCACAGTGGAGAAAAATGTTTTCAATTGGTTTGATCGATTAAAATGGAATCTGATAACTCAATGAACATTGTATATGTGAAAATATTCTTTTTACGCCATATTAATGACGAGTTGCACATAAATTTCAAGATACCTTTCAATCCATTAAGATTAGCAAATGTATTGCACAATCATTGCGAAGATGACAACAATTATCGCTAGGAAACTTGATGAAACACCAAAAACAAAACCCCTTTAAAAGGATGATATATCAATGAAAACAAAGTCGAACAGTAGACGTTAAATGATTGCGAACCGATGCTGACGTTTCAGTTAAACTCGTAACAGAGAAACTAAGTTACACATCGTAAGGAAAGTTCACGAAACAATTCATAGGTCACAGTGATTACTGACATTTCCCATAAGTTCAAGTGATGATTTAGCTTAGCTTATTCTGAAACCGAACATCTTTAGTTCAGAGAACCCATCAACGTCAATATCCGCATCCTAGGCTACAATAATGCCACATTATACCTAACCCACAGCTTTGTGTCTGAGGGAACGTGCATGGTATAAATGTTCTATTTCGCCTGTTCGCCGAGTTTGGCAATTTGTTTGCAAACGTTTCATCACCAGCCGAGGTGACATCATCAGTGCTTGTGAAGTGGCAGTCTTCTGCTTGTGTCCGTTCGTTTATATATGTGTTCCTCTCCACCGACCATTGCTGTCCCTTGTTCTCATTGTGTTCGACTGGGTTCGCCGTTAAACTGGTGCGTGGGGCCGAGGTTGGTAGGGTGGGGGTGGTTGTCCATCCGTCCTGATTGCGGTTTCGGTCCGTTCTCAGGTCACGCCGTGACCTATTTTTGTTGCGTCATTTGATCCTTAAGTTGCATTGGCATGTACACGTGATTCAGTTCAATGTGCCTGTTGATTGAGGAGTGCCAAGCTTCGAGAAATTCCCTGGCGTGTTTTGACCGAGCTTGGTCGATAATTTTCACTGAAGCGAAGTCAAACTGATGTTCTTCTTGATCTTCGTGGAGGGAAATCAAAGATAGTGGGTAATGTCTCCTGACTGCCGCTTGATGTTCGCGGATCTTCGTAGACAGTTTTCTCCCAATTTGTCCGAT